TTTGTAGACGTTTATCTGTTGATGACCTTTTGACCTCCTGAATTCTGCAATGAGATTTTCGGGTCGATTCAGCCGAGACAGCCCGAGTGGAGTTTCATGTAAATGTTTCGTACGGAAAAAAAATCGCGTGCGGTCGCGGGCACAGAGTGGTTGTTAGGTATTCCGGACACTATCTGTTTTACGTTTCTGCCGAATCATAAAAATGTATCAGAAAGTGTCTTAAAAAGAGGTCTAAATTACTATTTGCAAGTATACATTCATATAATTAAAATAATGACACTAAAAGTTGATGGAAATTACTGGCGATTGATGCGAAGTCTTATTCATCTCCATGGTTTCACATCGAGATTTCAGCATAAAATCTCATCGATTCTTCTTGTTCTTGCAAATCGGGGTAAGGTCACAGGAAGGTTTCGACTTAAAAATTAGGAAACTACATTTATATTAATTAATATTTCAGGCAATACTTGGTTCAACATGGATTTCACGCCTTCCCGTTCTTGAAGTCCACAATCTGGCCTCTCCCTCCATGGTTCGAGTACAAATAGGCCTAGGGAGGCGTATCCTAGGGAGGCCTACAGCAGGTAGTGGTACCGTCACCGGCCTAGTCAGGAGGCTATCTAAATCTGTCAATGATATTTTGACTAATTCTTATACCATCCAGGCCATATGAAAATTAAAATAATCGCTATATAAGATTCGTTGTTTCTCACTGGACATTTTAGAAATGTACACAATCAGAAGAACCAGTCATATTAATTATATAAATCTATATGTTTTTGTTTTTTTTGTTTGTTTTTTTTTTGTAAACTGCGTATGCTGCATTAAAATTGTAACATTGTTTTACCATTCAGCACGCGGTGGTTGACAAACGTTAAGTAGCAGAATTACAATCAAAACAAAAAGGCATTGAACCAGTGCATTTCATGTAGTGTACAGTATTTTTTCTTTTCTAAAGTTATCTACTGTACTGCTATCGAGCCATATTTACTGTACATTGATCTGAGACTAAAATATAAAGGGACTAACTAACCCAATCCATCCATCCATCCACCAATCAACATGGCTTTGTATATAAATATGTTCGGTAAAGATAATAATATTAAAACAAATTAAATAATGACAAAAAAAAATCCACACACACAGAAGCTTCTTTATACTGTAATTGAAACATAATGATTTAATTTGCAACAGCATACATCTAACATACATCTTTTATTTAAATTCAACACAAATAGCTTGAATCTACACAGGGCCACCAAGAGAGGAGGAAAAGATCCCCAGGGCCCTAGTTTACCAGGGCCCATAAAAATTGCAGGTAGCATTTTTTCCCCATATATTTTTCAAAAATAATTACTATCATGGGTCCTCAATAATGTTAAGGGTCCCCTAATAATGGGCTCCTACAGATTGACAGGGCCCCATCAAAAAAATTGTTTGCGCCTTCGCGCAATCTTTCTCGTGCTTCACGCTCGTAACTGGAGGCCCACACCGACCCTTGCACCTGTTACAGTTTCCCCTCTTGGTGGCCCTGAATGTACATAAGGAATTATACATACAGTATACACATCTTGTGTAGACCTTTTTGTATTTGGAAAGGCCATAGCATCAAAAATATTTCATATCTTGTGAAAAGGTTTTTCAAACAGAGGATATAATGTATCAGCAAACCTAATAATTACATACAGCATTATAAATAAAAACTAAAGATTGATAAACAAGTAATATAATTTTATATTTCAAATATATTGCTATATAATTAATTTAGTAATAGTTGTAATAATGTTCTCAATGTTATGCATCTATTAAAATTGTTATTCTTTATTTTTACCATTGTTTTTTTTTTATATTGCACATGCTGCCAACATTATTCTCTTCATTTACTTTTCTTAATAATATTCAAG